GGGGGGGGGGTGCTGTAGTCAACCAGTATCAAGGTTGAACCACAAGATATCAGAAGTCATAGATGACCAATCATGTTGACATCAGACTCAGGCAGGACAAAGCCATGCCTTTGGACATCAATGGAGGTATCACACATGTATCAGTGGGAGGGGATGGGATCTTGATGGTAACCCTTTGTTGATCAGGCAGAATTGAGGGGATATCAGATGGGGAGGGGTCCAGAGTTGCCTGTCACCTAGACTTGGGCAGCATAGTGCAATGCCAGCAGAATCAGCATGGACATCAGGCAATTGGGGTGAGCCATTGGGGGTGTAGTCAGGGGTTTGGTTGCTTGTAGATGAGTACCTTGCCAAAAGAAGGGGTGTTGGGCTTGCCTCATGAGCCTTTGGAGAGATCAAGCACAGGTCAGACCTCTCAGCTCTAGGAGAGTGGCCTATCAGCAGAGACTTTGGATACATCAGCACCAGTCATCCGGAAGTTGACAGTCTCGGCTGGAGCACCAGCCTTCAGAGGGTACAACAAAGAGTCAGGGTGTGTTGCCAGGTCATCAAGTACCTTGGTCTTACTACCTGAGGTCAATCAACATGATCATGGACAGTTCACCTCCTTCAAGGGAGATTGGTGTTTTGGGTTGTACTAGACAGTGGGATTCCTGAGAGACCAAATCTGAGGCTTCTGTGCCCTCAGACTGGTGCCTACATATACATGCCAGAGGTAACAAAAGGAAGCAATAGACTGTGGCTGAGAAACTGTACTTGTCCATCTTACCTCAGGGCAGACCTTGTGACTGAAGGTCTCCCAATCATGGGTGAAGTCTCCTGATCTCCACACTAGGGTTCACCCCTACTTCTCAATTGTCAGCCAAAGCCTGGCCAAAACATGCTTTGAGATCCAATCTGATCCCGATCACCTATACTTGAAGTGTAGGCACCTTGAGTAGGTTACCAAAGTTGCCAAAAGGTGGCTACTTGTCTGTGACCTGTCGACAGCATTGTTGAGGCCCATGACCAAAGCCTACAAATAGTCAAACATGATTGACAGGCTGGCCCAAAGGGCGTCTGAACTCTAACCCCCTATGCCTTAGGCCCCAAAGTCCTTTGGGTGTCCTAGCAACTTGATGAAGGGGTCAAAACTCTAGTCAACATAACTGACAGTCTTGAGCAAATGTGCGACTTGCATGTTCAGTCCTTGCAAAAGGTGAATGATCACTGATAGCCTTGCCATCCATCCCAGATGGGGAGAGAGGCCTGTCAGAGGGGGCTTCTCATATCCAATAGCCTTGACTGAGGAGTCGAATGTGTCAAAGTGGTGACATTCAGGCCGAATCGGAGTTTGCATAGGAGTTTGCAGAGGTCAAACCCTGACAACACTTTCTATTAAGTGTATAAGGCAAACTGATTCAGGGAAGAGGGTATGTGACCATTACAGGGATTATTGCCAGGCAATATACAGTATTCAGGGCAGTTCTTTCCTCCCCCACCTTTGGGCAGATAAGGATTCACCCTTTAATGACTGCTCACCTGAATATGTTAAGGCCCTTTGCCCTCCCCTCAAGTAATGGTAGGAGTATGGCAGAATTACCTGACTTGGATGGAGGCACCAAGTTATTCCGGTCAGAATGAAGCCAATCAGACTGTTTGGGATACTTAAACCTGTGTCATTTTGTAACTACAAACTGCTTTCACCTCAACAATAAACAGGAAATGATGGTCTCACCCACTCAACACCCACCATTGGGCATCAAAGTCCTCATTGTCAGCACTGGATTTGGAGGAATAACAGCTGCCATCAAGTGCCATAATAAAGGGCACCAAGTCATCCTCCTCAAGGTCTTTACAGAGCTTAAGATACTTGGTGTGCTCTCTGCCTTTTCCTTACTTAACCACTACTAACACACCAGCACTCTGGGATGTCTAGATGATATGATCTCTCTTGGTCTGAATGCAGGTCATATCATTGAGCACTGGGGAAATGGCTTAGTCACACATGAACTTCTTCCAATCACCCATAACAACAAGGAACTCATAATGCACTGATTCAATGGCCCCATTATCACATGTACCCCCATAACAGGGCTGAAGTTTGGCTCACCAGCATTCAACAGACACAGAGGTGAGCTTTATTGGTGCTTCTTCCACTTTGCACAGCAAGAAGGGATCAACATATACCTGAACTCACATATTGTCAAGTATTGGGAAGAACCGGACAAGGCAGGTGTAGTACTCCAGAGTGGCAAGAGGCTTGAGGTGGACATTGCCATTGGTGCCAATGGAGTGAAGAGCAAGGCATGATAACTGGTACTTGGATATGATGACAAGCTGCATTCATCGGGTTACACAATTTGGAGGATGTGGTTGACCAGCAAGGAGCTGGCAGAGGACCCTCTGATGAAGTTCTTCTCACAAGAAGATACTCACCACAGTTGGATCAGGCCAGAGGTTGGTCTTCATTCATTTCTCACTCAATCAGCATAGTTAATTCTGGCAGATTCACTTCCTTGCCACCTCACTCAAAGGCAGGAATGTTAGGGCAACACAGGCTGACTAAGTCTGCTCACCTAAGAGTGCCAAGAGTCTAAGCAGGCAACAAGGAAGTGGAGTAGACCTGATGACTAAGACCTATCTACAGTATAGGT